TATGCGAACTGTTTAACACAGTAAAAATCAACTGTCAATTATTAGTCTTATCAAATACAAATCGTGACTTGAGTTTACAATCAGATCATTACTATAATAATAACTCCTACAATTTCAGCTTCTAATAAAATCATAATACAATTACAAATATGTAAAATATTAAATATTGAAGGTTGTTGGGTAACAATAATACAAGTTTAATAATAAATACATTTTTAAAAAACCAAACGTTTTAATATAATTGTGATTATTGACTTATTGTACAATTTATTAACTGCTTTTAAGGGTTCTTCGTATTTTTAGTAATTGATGGTATATTAAACTGAATGTCACGCAACGTAAAAACATATTCGATTTTTAAAAGAGATATGATTTACACGCATAAAAATTATCAACAGATATTGAAATATTAGGAATACATATCATAAAAAGTTCAATATTATAGCAACAAATTAGAATAGTATTATTAAGAATAATTACGATTTATGTATTTTTATTTCTTTTTACATATTACCTTTTAAACAGGGTATAATTCTTCATTTCCGTTTTTTTAAATGAAAAGTTACTTTATTATATTTTTAAAGCCCAGCAAAATATCAATCATGACATGAAAGCTAAATTTTAGCTAAAAATATTTTAGGAATAAGTTTTAAAAGTAAATAAAATAATAGTTTTTAAACACAGGGTTGATACGATTGCAGTGGAAAATGAAAAATTATAATCATTTTTTTTTTTTAAATTTCAATCGTAATATTAATCAATTTGAAAAACTATACTGACTGGCGTTTACAAAAATGTAACATACCTCTGTGAAAACAAGAACATTTCATAATATATCCCATCATTGGTCGTTTTGGGGGTAGTTCGGGTTTTAGGTAACATGAATAAATTAGCTAAAACTCGATCTAAAGCAGCCTTATACTTCATAAATAAAAAACGGGCAGTTGTTTGTATTTTTTGTCAAAGTTGACCTTTGTAAGTCGTCTAGTGGTATACTGTCAAAAGCTCATAAAAAAACAAATTAACTCGCTATATGAAACGACAGCGACTACACGGCGGGTCACGTCACACGAAGTTTAAAAACCTAACTACCGTTGCCGTGGATATACTATTTGAGGGGCCCCCATGGCATAGTGGAGAATGCACGACATAACATTACTTTTTCCTGTGTGTAATAATTCATTTCCGCCTTACCTAAAAATCCAATCAGGGTAGCCAACTCAATAATGTCTACTGTGTAATAATTATAGGCGGGAAAGGTATATTTACTGATTTACCTAATAAAGTAGAATTGATTTGAGAATTTACATTGAAATRTAACATTTAAATCATTTATTACAGATGAAGGTCTAGTAAATGGTTTTTAAATAGTTTTCGTAAAATATTTACAATTTAAAGTTTAATTGCAATAATAATAATAATATATTGCATGAAATATATAAAAAAAAATGTTATAACACATAGGTAGGTAAATCTTATCCTTTTTTWAAAAAGGACATAAAGATATAAAAAATAAGACATATTATATACTATATCTTTTAATCATAAACATAATTTGTAGTAATTAATAGTATTTATCAAAATCGTCTGTTATAATACAAATTAATAGTGTAAAGTAAATGTAATTTTTAGGCTAAATTTGATGAATAAAACGACTGATTATTATTATTATTCAGACTATTTAGAAGCTAGAGTAGATCGAATTTACAAACATACAAATCTATAAAGCACAGTAGGTAAAAATGAATATTGATTACTGAATAATAAATCAAATCTATTATTGTATTGTTTAAACATTTAACAGCGAGTCAGTGAAACTTAAACCAAAATGTATAGGGGGTATTAAAATTATACATATTTATTTATAATTAATTTGTARTTTACATATATATTTATAATTAATACAACTATAAGTGTTTGAAGCTGAAATGTTGACAAAAAAGGATATTTATATGAAAGCTAATGATTTTTATTATTGTTTTGTGATACAAAATGTTTTCCATTACCTATATAAATTATGAATTTTGTACACAACAAAATTTCCAAAATATTTTTATCATGAACCTATTCCCAATAGTGGATCAAATATTGACTTATAAGTTAATAATAATACTATAGTAGTGTTATTCTTCAACAATAATAATGTATACAATTCAACCTACCATATTAGAGTAGACGCAACTAAGGAGGGGTGGGGGCCAAGCCACAAAAACTAGTAATACTTTTCTAAAAAATTAAGTATCATTTAACACTTAAAACAAAAAAGTGATATTATCCTATTTACAAAAATTTTAGAACATCAAATGCTAACCAAATATATTTATTATTTAGGTATTAATTTATTATTTATTATAAACATTTAGAAAATAACACATAAAACTAATAAAAACATCAAAATTGTTATGTAATACAACTTTGAATTTTGATAGCAGTAAGGAATGTATTATGAATATGTGTTTTTGTATAAAAATGCGTATTTGTCTTTTATTAGGTTTTAGAGCAATAAAACGTATTTCAATCTTCAACTATGATAATAGTTTCTGGTATAAAATATTATCTGGTTATTCTAGTTGAACTAGACAGAGGTGCAGAAGAGGGTAAAAGAAAAATACTCTTTAGCACAGTTATTTTCTTAATAATTGGGAAAACTAAAAATATTTATTTATAATATTGTGTGGACTAATTAGGTATTTTGCATCAATAATAAATACCTACACTATTTTATTTTATTAAGGATTTAATAATATTATGACTTATTAAGGATTCCATGATATATTTAATAGTGTCTAATTACTTTAACAATGAATTCAAAATCAAAAAGGTAAAAGTATTTTAATGGCTTCAATTAGATAAAATAACAAGATACCAGGCAAAATATAAAAAAACATAAATAATAAATACTGCATTTTTAAACAAAATGTAATTTAAAGTATGAATGTTATTTCGTTATTAAAAAATATTTACAACAATTATACATATAACATGGAAAAACAAACTAGTTTTGTTAACATTCAAATAATAAACAATGAGCTTGACATTTTGTGTCAAATATAAATTTGAAGATATTTTTCTTAAAATCAACATAATGGTTTTATTTATGATTTAATAAATACATATTCTATTTTATCCTATACAGTTTAGGTGTATTGGTTACAAAAAGAATATTTTAATCTGAGTGAAACAACAAAATGTATTTTCAATGAATTTTATCTTATAATTTTAACAYGTTGACTGCCATGCAGSTGCCGGCGGCCTCAAGAATATTTATCATGGGTACGCCAAAGACATTTTTCAGTGTCATTATAAATTTGTATTTATATATATACTATTGAATTTGAAAAAAAAATTAAAAATACAAAAAAAAATGTTAAAATTATGTTTATTATATCAAAAAAATTGCAATACGCCACAGCGTAATTCAAGATCATTATTTTAGCGCCACGGAAAAGTTAATAATATAAATCCAAATTAATTTATGTCAGCCCGCGGTCATATGGCCTCCTACAAATGATATGGTGCCACAGCCGGCGGTCTAAAAATTATCAAATTATCAATACCTAATTATTTTTATACGRCCGCATGGCAGTCAACGTGTTAAGAACAACTACAAATCAGGATAGAGATAAAACAATGGAKAGGAAAATGAGTGTTGCAGAGATGAGAAAGTTAAGGTGGATGAGTAGAGTGACGAAAGACAGAATAAGAAATGAGTATATAAAAGGTAGTAGAGGAGTGGCTCCAATAGTTGACAAATTGTGTGAGAATAGGTTGAGATGGCTAGGACATGTTTTAAGAAGAGAAAATCTGAAGCAGTTTCAGTGACAATAAACATGAGTGTAGATGAAAAAAGAGGAAAATGGAAGACCGAAAAAGAGATGGTTTGAAGTTATAGAGTGCGATAAGAGAATAACTGGTGTTTGTGAAGAGGATGCTAAAGATYGTAGTAAGTGGAAATTGAGGACCAGGGTGGCCGACCCTAAATAGTTAGGAGAGAAAGCGAAAGAAAAGAAGAAGAAGAAGACTAATCAGGATAGAAGTGTTCATAAAATGTTCATATTATTTGGTAACATAATATTCTATTATTGATTGAAAAGTTAGTTGGGATAGTATTAAATTAAGAATGTTTTAAAGATATTCCTAAAAATGACTTACAAAAAATAAAATTTATAGCACACCAGTTATCAACAATATTGATTCTGGTCTTTATTTTCTACCTTTGAAATAATTTGAAACTTGGCAAAGGGTATGCAATGTAAAAGTTTTTAAATACACCTAAAATCATCAGATCCAACAACCATGGTCAAATAGCAGTTTTTTATAAATTTTATTAAATTATTATTTTATAATCTGAGTGGATTAAGTGTTTAAAATGAATTTTTAGTTTTGTAAAAAATCGTCATAACAAATTAATAAATGCACTTATTTGATAAGTTCAGATTATGCTATAGATAAAACTATTAATTTGATACAAAAATATTAAAACCATTAATATAATAAATTCCAATTCACATTTTTACATATAATTATTTTATAATGTGTTAGTAATTATTATTATATTATTATTATTTTTTTTAATTTTATTGAATAAATCTACAATTGATACATATTTTTTGTATAATAAGTAGGTTTGATAAATGACAAGTAAAAAGAAAACAGATAACATGATAAGTGCCCTACAAGTGGTAACACCCTGTAAGTGACAGAATAACAGTGGAAAAGAGAGAAAAAAAACATAATTTTTTAAGGTTTTAAGGTGTTACCTGGTAGCAACCTCCAGCACTTATTAAGCTCGCATACTATAGAATAAGATCTCTACACCCAAGTTATTAAATTAAAAACCAAATAAAATAATAATAATACAGACATTATTTAATTCTCAGTACAAATTGAGGAATTTTAATTTTATTTCTCTTAGTTGATATTTTGATTATTATTATTCTATGTATTTTATTGTACTAATTATTTTTGTTTCATTTATATAATGGATAATTTGTACTTACCATTCATAAATTGGTTAGAATATCTATTTTGTTGCTGTTGGAAAAGCATTGACGAACCAATATTAGAAGTGACGGTAACACAAGTAGTTGTTCCACTTGAAGTTTGATTTAGTTGGGGTGAATTATCTAATAACATTATTTAAAATTGTAAAAACAGATAATTAAATACTATTTATATAAAAAGAAGCATATAATTATTATTTATTCAATAGTATTTTTTTATGATAGAATAAAAAATATTGTAACATATATCCCAATTTATGAATTTAATTTACCACTGATATTTTAGATCAGCGGTTCCCAACCTTTTGAGCAGGCGGTGCCCTTTTGTTTGTACAAATTTTGTTAGGTGCYCTTCTGTGAATATCACGAGGAACGTGACAAAATAAACACTAGTTTTCATTCATAACTGATTTAAATAATTTTATCGAACATATTATTAACAAATTATAATTTTATAGTTGAAACTAAAAAGAAAAAAAGGTGGGTAAGTCGTGGATGTCGCTCTGCTGTACAGTAGGTTACAAATGGGTTACTGTAATGGATGGAATTAAATTTGAATCCAATGCTATTATATCACTGTATACGAAAAAAGATTCTTAGTCAAGACGGTTTATCTGTCTAGGATATATTATAGATTATTAAAAATTTTCAAATCTTAGATTTAAAAAGAAAATTTTTTATGAATTTC